GAGAGAGAGAGAGAGAGAGAGAGAGAGAGAGAGAGAGAGAGAAAGAGAGGGGGGGAGAGAGAGAGAGAGAGAGGCAGAGAGAGAGGGTAGATGTTTTTTTCCTCGCGAGCATGGTATGGCAAGCTTATGTACTCGTGTACCTGCAACATGGCTACTTGTAACCACAGAGAGTGATACTGGAGCAACCGGTCGCATGGAGACGTACGACACCCATGCGACGCTGGGTGAGTCCCCCTCTCCTCCTCCTCCTCTCCTCCCAGCTGTTAGCTACATAATCAGCGGTTCTTAACCTGGGGGTCGTGACCCCATGGGGGTCGTTTGGGGTTTTTCCAGGGGTCATAAATGAAACAAATCCATTTAAATTCTATATATAATTATCAGGGTGCTACAAAAAAATTCCCCTCACTTGCCCGGTCGGTCAAGTGACTCATAAATTTGGTTGCCCACAAGCCCAAAGTACTTGCCCGAATTTTTTTTGATCGCCTGATGGCTGCGAAGCAATTTCAGCCATCCCATTGACTGAGTATTGGCAGACATGTTTTCATAAATCGGGCTGTTATTTTTCAATTTTTGTTTCGGGGGTCACGGTTATGCCAAAAATGTCTGATTGAGTCGTGGAGCCAAAAAGGTTAAGAACCACTGAGCTACATACTCCTAGTGCAGACCTGCAACTTTTTAATGCAACTCGACAGCGATTCTAGAATCGCTGTAAAAATTGCTATGAAATCGCGGGAACGTGCAACTGCAACGCGTAGCGATTCTGGTCGCTCGCGACGAGTTGCAAGAAATCAAACTGTTTTGATTTTGAGCGACTCGTCGCTCCCAATCGCTCCCAAATTGTTCTAGAATTGCTTCGAAATAGCATGTGTGCGCACACGCGGTGACACATTGACCGATCGCTTGCGGTTGAAGGTTGCAGAAATGAGCAACCAAAGATCTCAGGTCTGCACTAGGGTTTACGTATGGCTACCCCCGGGGAGGCACTCCCTACAAACTAGGGTAGGTATGTGCCACTTGAGAGATGGAATTGGGGGGCTCCAGTACTAACACGATCAGCATAGCAAAATGAGGGTCTCCGGAACGTGCGGAAAAAAAGTAGGACCTATGCTCCGGGACGGGAAATATGTGAAAGGCGAAGTCTCCGGTGTGGAAAAAAATAGGACCTATGCTCCATGGTAGGAAATATGTGAAAAGAGGGGTCTCCGGTGCAGATATTTTGAGGTGAAATGGGGGGTCATAACCGCGGCACATACCTACCATAAAATATATAGGGAGTGCCCCCCCAGGATGCGTACTCACGTATATATCTAGTGGTGGGTAACCTGGGAGAGAGCTGTGGGTGCTGGGAAAACCTTTTTTACTTTGAATTTTTATACTTTTCTGTATAAGTAGGTGGGTTATAGGTACAAGTCCTAGGTAGAAACGAAAATCCTTTTGAAGCATTCCTAGAAAATGATGTCCCTCTCATGATGGGGAGCAGCTACGCGACATTAACTTCGCAGGGGGGTCATTTAAATCGTGATCTCGGACTGATTTTTGCTTTACCGTGACAAATTACATGATGAGACTCCATGCTGTGTAGTCTGATGTACTGCCGCATGAGTGCGCCTCTGTATAGCTTTTCCGGTTGATTACCTTTTGTTTTTTATGTGCGTAAGTATAGATATAGTAATTGGGACTTTGGGGAGCAACTTTGTGGGGGACCTAACTCAGAGTAACCGCATCAAGATGTGAGCTAGCTGCATGCTGTGTTCGTGCATGCGCCTGTTTATGTATCTTTTCTCTGTATCTTACACCCTCAGACACCTGCGTCTATATCTATCTCTGTATCTATATCTATATCTATATCTATCTATCTATCTATCTATCTATATATATATATATATATATATATATATATATATAT